TCGTCAGAAATCCGCAAGTTTCTGCAAAAGCAATCGGTCTCAATTTTTTGAGCAACTGCGCATGCGCTGCATTTAACTGGGTTCTTTCGGTAACAGAGAGAAAGCTGAGAATTGCTGGTTTCTTTGCGTCGTTACCTTTTCTAACATATCTTTGTGATAAAAGACTAAAGTCATCAATACACTGCGTTCAATAATAGAGAAAAAATAGCACAGATAGTGCGGATGTTGAATAAATGAAATAATCGCTCTTTGCAATCCTTGTGCGCGCGCTCAATTGCATCAGCAAAAGCGCGCGCGAAAACTGTGTTCGGCCACCTTAATTTGCCTTTTGGCGAAGAACGAAAAAAATCAAGGTCAATACCACTTTTTATCATCATGACGGCTGTATCAGAATTGTCCAGTGCCGCTGTTTTCCGCTTCATCATTTCCTTCACTGGGTACAACATGAATATCTCATGAGTGACCAGAATTTCACTTCCATAATGTTTTTATTTGAGCATGTTGATTGAAAACCGCTGGACTGGGCTTCGAAACGGTTTTCTGTCTTTGAACATAGCATCGCGGATTCGGATCTATCTATTGAGAGTTTCTTGAGGAAACTAGTGGGATGTGGGATGTACATATCTGCCTGATCCAGTCACAAAAACATACTTTATGTTAGCATTGCTCTTTGTTGGTCCTTTTCACCAATAACGCATTGGCACTTACGTAATTCGCGTGAAATAAAATTACGCTTTAAGAATGCCACTGAGATAATCTGACTAAGGATGGGAAAAAGACAAGAAAAAGACCAGATGCTTTGATTAATTTGAGCATGATCAGGGATTGCACGATCGACGCCCGAGCTACACCTCCCCGATCCCCCTAGCCCAGGGGCCAGAAAACAATAATCTATTCAGGTCACTTGTTAGATATTTCAGGGTACACCAAAACAAAAAAAGTGGGCGTTAATTACAGTTATCTAAAGGAAAGTGTTGTGTTGGCTTGATGACCTTGCTTTTGTGCTGCAATCTGCAATATCAAGGTTTTCCAAACTCCATTACCGAATTCGCTTATCAACCATCAGTTAAGCTCATTGATCGGATATTGTTCTTTAAACGGAGCAAAGATGGCTCGACCGCCGGTTGTTCCTATGGCCTCGTCGTTCATATTAACCAATTAAGAGAGCCAATACATAATGGAAAGAGTTCTCTTACTTTCAATGATTATGGTTGTGTTGCTGACACGTACTGAGATTTGAGCGGGTGCTTAACAGAGATCGCAAAGGGTCAGTCGCTTTGTTATTCTTAATTGTTGTCATAGACAATTTTCTTTCGTAGCTTTTTTTTCGACCGCCAAAATGAAAACAGGTCATTCAATTCTGTTTTGACTTTAGCTAACTGAGCTTTATAGCAAAACAAGGAAGTAAGAGGATTGTCGGTGGAAAGATTTTGGACGACGTCTCAAACAGACGTTTGGTTTGATTCGTTCAACAATCTCCTTCTGTTAACCCTACTTCGTTCCAGTCGCCTACGTACTAATTATAATCCGCTAATTAATCAGTCAGATTAGCGATCAAGATAAGCCGTCATGTCATAACTTTATCACAACTTGTGAGAGAGTTTCAGGGTAAGACTAGTGATTGAAAACTTGGAAATGAGGTGGCATTAAAAAAGATACAGGATAGATACAAGTTTTAAGACGACTAGCAGATCCAAGAAAGAATACGACAAAATGCAAGAAGGTGCCGTGCGGAAGACGACAACATTCTCTACCGTCTCCATTTGTCCGAACCCCGCCCAGAAGGTTAAGGACTCTGAGTCTTGTGCTGTTTGCATTCTAAATAGCTCCAGGAGGGCTGATCTTTACTATAACAACTTTGGATATTTTTTCCCATTAAATCGATCACTAAAAGGAAAACTGCGGCATGACCTTACGCCCTCGGTATCAATGACAATCGATGAAAACGAGCCGGTATTCAACACACAATGAGGCTTAAAGCGGAACTCAAACGCCTTCGGTTCCAAGTCAGATCTTCCACTATTGTTGAACTTGACTTCTGTCCAACCTAAACTACTTGCAAGGAAGTAAGTTTAGAGGCGGTTTATAAAGCAGACTCTGTAAACATTTGCTGCACGAAACTGGGAAGGACGACCTATTGCAAGGATTACGTTTGAATGGAATGAACTGAATCTGGCTTGCTGTTTATTTACAATTCTCTTCTCTAGGCGAGCAACTTCTTAATCCAGTTATACAAACCGCAGACGTTTGCTGCGACAATTTTCTCTGTTTACGGGGCGCCTTGAATTAAATTCTACAACTATCACGTGGAACAATGCAGAGTAGAGGCGAAGCCACTGGCAGACGAATGGTAGGTGTACTTTGTATATTGTGTAAATGTTTTGTTTGAATGAACTCGATGGCTTATATTTTGAGTTCAATATATCCGACTAGACTTGAAGGATTTAAATTTCAGTTTTTTACCCTTAAGTCACAGACATCAGAATGTTGCAGAAGACTTAAGAAATCACTGCCAACGGAAGTGCAAAGTAACTCATACTGTTCCACTAAAGCTTTCTGCGGTTTATCTTTTACGATATCATCTACTTGTTCAAAGAGGAAATCTGCGGACAATATGTTAAAATATTTTAAGTGTACTTTACAGTTATCAGAAGTGCTGAGGAAAATTGTGGTTTGGTAAATAAAATCAAACAGGAGCAGCGCAACGTTTATGTTGGCATTCATAGGTGTTAGTCATGTCTGAATTGCTATTTTGACAGTCATTTCCACAAGACAATCACGGCCACTTATTCCAACGAAGCAGGCCTCGGAATCTTAGCATTGGGTCAAATAACAACATCGAGGAGGAAAATAGAATCATTCGTGCCGCCGTGTTGGGAAAAGATGGCGTCGGAAAGACAGGTGAGGAATGGTATGATCACTCAATATGAGCTGGAAAGCCAAAGTTCACGATCTTTGAATTAATTTTGTTATATTAACACGTAACTAAAACTAAATTAAACCCGACCCCACGCACGAAACGTCAGGTAATTACACGCACTTCTTGCACGTTGGAGGATCGAGGCTAGGCAAACGAGAGAAGTGTTTGGGGGTGTTACAATAAGGTGTACCAGCAAGGAACAGGAATGATATTAAGGCAGACTAGTTACATAATTCTTTTTAGAACTGAAATTTGTTGAAAGTGGGAGATAACTGCTCTCATTTATTCTGTTTGTTGTAGGTCGTTACCATGCAAACTAGCGTGGAACTACTGTAACGATTGAATTGCGTGCAGACAACAAACATTTCACAGCGGGTTGCCAATCAAATCTGAAGTCAAAACTCCGCACGTTTTGTCCGTTCTATTAAAATTTATCGTATTTTCTTTTCAGGCAGACTCGATAATCTTATCGGTAACAATCTGATTGCTTTATATATCCTTCCGGCTTTTACTGGCAAACCTGCAACCAGAATGTAACGAGACATAACAATAAAGAAGTGAAACATTGGCTGGAGTAATTGTTTTCGCATTTTTCGATGTCTGAAAAGTGCTAAGACAATTACGTGCTAGGGATCAGTGAACATAGCACAACTGGATATGGCAGTTTCACCTTCACTCCAAAAGAAGGCGTTTCGCGCCGTCAAACTATCCCATATTTTCTTCCAGTTAAAGGCGGTAATCTTGTCAGACTACTCATTGTTCCGTCCTTTTGGCAACTTCCTTTGACCCTTTTGCTCCGAATAATGTGCTCGGATATTTCCAACACTGTAAAACTAAATTCTATATAAAAAGAAAGCGATATTTAGCGATATAAACTTTCTTTTACTAGGAAGGTGTATTTACAGAATTTTGAGTAACTATACTCACTGTTTCGTTTTTTCTGATTAACAGCTTTTACAGTACGTCTGTTGACACGTCGCTTCATTGGTGATTATGATGGAACTTTAGGTAAGTTGAAGATTTGTAATCATTACTTCTCGGCAACAAATTAAAGACACCTTCTGTCGACCACCA